AAATAAAGTCTGCTAAAGGCCTATGAATATTTACCTTAGTGATATTACAAACATTCAGTCATTCATTCAAGTCAGTCAGGATCTAATATCACTCGGCTGTTATGAGTTGGCAGAAATGAAGGCGTCCCACTTTTTCTGCCACATGGCACGACCTGAATCCTTCAGATGAGCTGGGAGTGAGCTGTACCTGCAGGCAGAAGAAGAAATATTTAATGAGAAGAAACATACTGCAACAGGGCTTAAAATCAAAGGTTTTATTAATATTAATATAAACATTCATGTTTTTTTTTTTTTAAATGTGAAAATCATCTTGAAAGTTGCTTCAAAAATACAATTCCAACATGAACATTATTGTCCTGACAAATAAATAAGGACATTATCTGAACGCTTGGCTCCATTTTTTCTAAACATGAGTAACTCTGTGTTAGCATAGTGCTGAACATCATTTTGGAGGATACTGTTACTGATAGCATGAGTTTAGTCGTCCTCGTGCAATTAAAAACTGGTATGCTCATAATGCTGACTTTAACTAATTATATCTACATTTTCTAAGGAAAATGTTAAATTTAATGGAATCTGGTCAGATGAAATGTACTTTATTTAAATAAATAAACCTTTGATTTGATATATTTTCAGTGCATTCCTGAGAATTGTTCTTCATGTTTATTGAGAGGTGAAAATCATTGAGTGTATGTTGGACTGAAATTCATTCATTTGTATAATTTAATTCATGCTCATTCAAAGATAGTATGATGAAAACTGGCATCAGCTGTTGGCCACCACATTTTGAGTCCATCTTGTTTTCTTTGAAGGCTTAACGTTAAAACACGAATGAAAGAAATAAAGTGAAATTATTCTGACGTGATGGAGTTTGCAGCCAGTTCTTTGAGCGTGCCCAGGTTTGCTTTCAACCCTCCGATGCCCACGAATGCTTGATAGAAGTCATAGGAGAGGCCTGTGGTGCCAAACAGGGACGGGTCATCGGCACTGATGACCATCGGGTGACCCTCTGACATCAGCACAGTAGCAGGGTGGTTCCTCAGGTCTGAAACCAGCTTCAGCACCTGCAGGTCAGAGGTGAAACAAACTCGGGTAAGTTATGTATAAACACATGTACATACTGTGTGTATTTTATGATGGCAGTGCTAACAGGTCATTAATGTGACGCGTATATTTCTGTTCACTTTTATTTAAAATAATGCCGTCAGTTCCTGACTTTTAGGCATTTAATCTTTAAGCTTCTTCTAAAACACCTGCTAGATTTAGATAATCTTACAATTTTAAATCATGTTAATTTAATTGACATTTCTTGCCATTGTACCAGCTGACTTTTAGTGGTTGCAGTTTAAATTTCAATTTAATCAGGCTTAACGTTTGACACCGGTATTACCTTTTGTCTTTGGTAGCAAGATATCATTTATAAATTAAAGATTTTTATGACAAGTTAACATTTTTCTTAGTTTTACGTTTGTTCTTGACTTGGAAAGTTTATCAACCTACGTATGAGATGAGTTGTTTTTATACTCATATTTCAGAAAGTGCTACAAAACTACTACCAAA